ACCAACCCCCTCCTTCTAAACGGTTCTGGGTACTTCAGTTAAATAGACTTTTTGGTCCTTCTGCATATGTACAGAGATGTAAACATTAAGCTCAAATGAATTCCACCAAGGCATTTTAAAAAATGAAGGGGTGAGGGGGGGGAATTCTAGTGCTATAAGAACTAATATTTTAACCTAGGGCCGTCCAATTTCAGTGTAGCTGGGGGCTCATACTACTCCAGCATGTGACCCCCTAAGCTGTACACTGTGTGGGCCACACACTGAGGGGCAGGATATCCGACAGACAAGCTATACAACTGAAAATACTGGTTATCAAATTCAGCATGATGGAATTTCATCGTCAAAAAAGAATTAGTTTAGGCCCTGGAACTGCACTTAGATAGCGAAGTATAAGATCAGACCTTATTTTGCAAATTGCAGATGTATGGAAAACAAGCCCAACAAAAACCAATAGTAAAGCAAGGATATATTCTTTGCTTAACAATTTTACTCATTGACGTGCACAGATTTCAACATCCTATAGTGTTAAGACTTGATGTACAACTAGGGGTTGGAGGACAGAGTTGTCTCTGTATGTTGAAATGGACATGCAAATACAACTAAATCAAGTAAAATAAAATTATGTTATGAAACAGAAGTAGGAGCATTGTGATGGCATGCATTATTTGTTCCAGCTGTTTAACAGCATTTAGCTCCTCTTTAAGAGTGTGATTGGCTAAAGACCTACAACAGTTTGATCAGATTAAACAGTAAAATGTTTATAATCCTCTGATTCTTGTGGTAAGTTTCTCATTGCAGGTTGAGTCAGAATACCAATTTTAAGCTATTTTCAACATCTCATATTTGTAAGTTAAGAAGCTAGAAGCTTTTTTCCTCTGGCAAGGTATTTAAAACTTAATTGCTTATTAGTCAATCATACAGACTAGAGCACCTAAATAACTTTAGAAACAGTGGCTGTTTTGTGGTGTGCTTTAGGGCCGCTGAGGGCAGCTGACTGCAGCTCTGCTCCGGCTCCTTGTAACCGTAACAGCCCGGCCCTGAGTGGGGCAGAGCCACGATCCGCTGTCTGCATACCCCTGCCTGGAGTGTGCAGGCTGCAGATCACAGCTCTGCCTTGGTCCCAGATCAACCTACTCCCACCACAAGATCTCAGCAGCTCCAGAGCAGCCTCCTGCCCTGCCATCATGGCTGGAGCCAGTCTCCATGGCAACCCCAGCCCTGCACTATCACACAGCACAGGCGCAACTGAGGTTTCCACGAAGACCAGCCCCAGCCATGTGGACAGGGGCTGCTGGGAATTGGAGTCCGGCTGCCGGCCAAAGCCATCATTTTGCTCACTCCTGCTTTAGAAGATCAATCTATCCATGTACAGGCAGGTTCCTTGGATACCAACAGTCTTTGAACACAAAATACAAAAGTATTGATTTCATTCAGGTCACCATGTCTTTGAAGTTAAGGGCAAGTTTGTACCAATTAAGTCAGTGCACTTGAAGCACAGGCTTACAATTAAGCACCTGCCCAAGTTCTAATTCAAACTGAGATCTTAGCGAGGGCCATCTTCCTGATCCTCCCAGCCATTATTTTATTACATGCCTCTTAAGGGAGGAAGAAAACTCTGAACATTTAAGGTAAAACAATGGAAAACATAATCAGTGTCTGCCACCTGGCCTATCTGAAATCTCATGGAGGCCAGGTGAGGTCCCAGATGACTGGAAAAAGGCAACTATAGTGCCCATTTTCTTTAAAAAAAAGGAAGGAACTTGATTCTGAGAAGTATAGAGCAGTCAGTCTAACTTCAGTACACAGACAGATTATAGAGCATGTTGTCAAGAAATCCATTTCAAAGCACCTAGAGGATAACAAGGTGATCTGGAACAGTCAACATGCATTTAAGAGCAAACCATGCTTAACCAAACAGATTTCTTTTTAGGACAAGGTGAAATCATTTGTGGATGGGGAAAAGCAGAAAATGTAATACACCTCAACTTTACCATGTCTTTTAATACTGTTTCTCATGATTCTCATTAGTTAGCTAAGAAAATACAATTTAGATGAAATTACTGTGAAGTGTATATATAAACATGTTGGATCATTGTGCTCACAGAATAGTCATCAATGGCTTGATGTCTACTTGGGACAAGTGGGATTCCCTAGAGGTCTGCCCTAGGCCTAGAAGTTAATGATTTGGAGGACGGGATGGAAGGCAGTTAGTAAATCTGCAGATGACACCAAACTGAGTGGCAAGTCGCAGATATTCTGGAGCAGGGTTTGACAACCTGCACGAACAGTGGGCTAAATTAACACAACTTAGTCCTAAGGTGGGCCATAACTGTTAGATATTTTGCTATTAGATGCTGCATTCTTACCTGGGATTCAGGTCAACGCCTTTCATTTCAATGGATGGGTACCTGTTAGCCAAGATAAAATTATGCCCCACCCAGATAACAGGTCAACACCATTTATTTCAATGGAGGGGTTAACCTGTTGGCCAAGTGCAACAGATAACATCTTTTTATGGGCCATATCTAGCCTATGGACCATAGTTTGCCAACCTCTGCTCTGGAATATAGGATTAGATTTTAGAAAAATCTTGACAAACTGGAAAAATGGTCCAAAACTTTCTGATGAAATTCAATAAGAATGAGTGCAAAAATCGGGCACATAAAATGGAATAATCACATGCACAAGTACAAATTTGGGAATGGCTGGTTAGATTGCAGTGCTGTAGGAAGAGACCTGGGAATTATAGTGGGCCATAGGATGAATACCAGTCAACCACATCATGATGTTGAAAACCAAAAAGCTCACCATGCTGAGCTGAGTCACCTACAAAGTTGAGGGAAGTTATTTTTTTGTTCTATTCCATACTGCAAACTTCACCTGGAGTGCTTTGTCCGTTTTGGGACACTTCGAAAGACACGGGTAAGTTGTTACAGCCACAAGAAGTAGAAGTCTAGGAAACATGATTTATGAGGAAAGGTTGGAAGAGCTGGGATTTAATCCGGCAAAGAAATGATTGAGGGTGTGGGATTTGATAACAGTTTTCAAGTAACATGAAGCATTGATATGAAAAAGGTGATGCACTATTATCTGGAGCCAGAGGGGACAGGACAAGACATAATTCTTAAAAATGTAATTAGTAATAAGTTTGTCACTATGAGGTTCAGTATTAAATTACCTAGAGAGACTGCAGATTCTCCATCCCTGGAAGTCTTTACGAGCTGGTTAGACAAACATTTGGAAGAGCTGGTTTTGACAGGGATGACCCCGCCTTGAGCCATGGGTTGAGCTAGATGACCTTCTTAAGTTGCTTTCAGTCCTGTTTTTCTATGGTTCACTTGTTTCTTTCCCTTGCTATATAACATCTTCAGCAAATAACCTGGCTGTTAGCTTGGTTTTAGAATGTGTGGGTCATGTTTAAACCCATAATAGCAAAGAGAGAGCAAAAGCAGGCATATACCTGTGACTGAATTCCCAGGGGTTGGAAAACTATGCTGTCATATCATTATCTATAGGTCAAATTACATTTTTTTTCCCCACCAACAGTATAAAAAGAATTCTGAGACATTTTCATTACATGTCTATAAATTAAAGCCTCAAAACGTAGGCCTTCAATGTTGCCACAAATAATTAAATTGAATCACATTTGTAATTTGTCGTCATCTTAATGATTTGCAGTTGTATCAACTATAATTGAAAGCATTAATTTGGCTTCTGTCCCTAGCGTATGTAAGCACTTATAAGGTTTAAGCAGACTCCTTCAAGATTTCAGTGACAGAGACCAAATGGCATTCTTCCCTTGCCAACAACTTAATAAGTCAATGTGGAAACAAGGTTTTAATTAGTTTGAAAAGGTTAGGCCAAGAGATACCTCTTGTCATTCTTTTTAGAAGAGATCGAATTCATATCTAGTTGTGTGGTAATTCAGGCAGCAAATTTCAGAGGCAGGACCCCATTGAGAAAACTCTGCCGGTGGCACCCAGAGAAATATTATTTGAGCATTCAGTTTGACTTCTGACTTTTATGAAAGGCTAGAGAGGGTGAGAGAGTCTCGGTCCAGTCTATGCTCTTTAGTCACCCAGCACTTTCAAAGTCACCTGTCAGTCAACTGACAGCAGTGCATAAATCTCTGTCCCACTAAAAACATAAACAATGTATCTTTATAATTTCTCATTTTTCAACTAGAACTACACACTACAGCTTAGGTGAGAATCTGTGCTATACTTAGAGATATAGCACTGTCAAAGGTGCTAATCTTTGCATCCTACAGCCTCTGATAAAGTTCAGACAATTTTGGGAGACATGTAATTTATAGCAGTTTCTCTGGCTGCAGTGCTGCCTGGCATATCTTTGATATATTTTATCCTACAAGCTTTTATACATCCTTTATAAAGTTATTTTGGAAATGCACAATCCAAAATTAAATGATCTTTTGCTCCTGGATATACCTATGAAGCATGAGCTCTGACACACAACCCTCATCAGGGCTGGGCAATGACACCCAAACCATTCACTCATTCAGTGTCCATCATACCAATGTGATGCAGGTGGTGTCAGAATAATGACAGATTACAAGAAACCCAGTGGAATTTGCAATGAGCACACTTCCTCCATAGGTCCCACAGACAGAGACTAAGGGTTAAGTACAGACATTCAAAAAGCCCCAAGTTTCTCTAAATTACATAGATTGAACTGGGAGTGAACAGAGGCATGTGCACTCTTGGGTGGGGGGAGCGGCATGGCAGATGCCTGTACTGGTCAGGCCAGAAGGCCAGGGGTGCTCTTGTACACCTCCCAGTGGGGCCTCTTTCTCCATCCCTGCCTGCCCCCACCAGCAGCCCTGTCATTAACAGTGGGACATCCACCCACCTGTGTTTGCTCTGGTTGGGGGGAGGCCAGAGACAAGCCACCAGCTCTGCTTCCCCACTCCCCTGATGTTGCCTGGCTAGACTGACAGCCTGCATGGCTCTCAGCCCTGCTCCTCCCTGCTGGTGACAGCAGAGCCGGGCTGGGTGGGGAAGCACAGGCTCCCCGCAGCTGTCCTTGCTCAGATCTGGGGGGATTGGGGCTCTGCTCCTGCCCACCACCACCCAGCTTGGCTGACATGGGCAGGCAGGAGCCAGGGCTGAGAGCTGTGCCAGGACAGTCAGCTGAGCCACTCAGCACCAGGGAGAGGCAGGGAGAAAAAAGCCAGGGAGAAGCCCCCATCCTGCAGGCCTGGCCCCAGGCCCCAAGACCTAAGCAAGCATAGTGAGGGGGGGAGGGGGGAAAGCCTGCTCCCCCCCCCACTGCCAGGCTTGACTGACACAGGGAGGCAGTAGTGGGGCTGAGAACCACATGGGCCATCAGCTGAGCTGGGCAGTGCCAGGGGACAAGAGGGAGCAGAGACCCCTCCCACCCCCCCAGCTGTCCTTGCTCAGGTCTGAGGGGCTGGAGTCAGGCCCACAGAGCAGAGGCCTCCACTTCTCCCACTCTACCATGCTGACCAGCTCAGATGACAGTCCTGGTACAGCTCTCAGCCCCAGCTCCTGTCTCCTTGTGTCAGCTAAGCCAGGCAGCAGCAGGGGGTAGCATCCCAGGCCCAAGCAAGCACAGCTGGGGAGGAACCTGCGCTCCCCTCCACCCTTCTACCTCCCCTGCCAGTCCCAGCTGACATGGGCAGGCAGCAGCAGGGCTGAGAGCCATGTGTGCTTTCAGCCAAGTCAGGCAGTGACAGAGGGCAGGGACCAGAGACCGTGCCCCCTGTTCCCAGACCTGAGCAAGCAGTTGTGGGGGCCTGCACAGTGGGGGCCTCTGCTCCTGCCCTCCCCTCCCGCACTACCACTGGCAGGCGCAGGTAGGACACGGGGCTGGGGAGCAAAGGATGCAAAGGATCATGGGATGCTGGAGGACAGCAACTTAACTTGAGTTGGGAGGGGATCTGGGGCATAAGTTTGATAGGCCTGTTTAACCCAGATCACTTAAGTCTAATAGTACATCCATCCAAGTCAATCTTAAACTGGTTTCAGCCATTTTGAAATTAGTTTATGTGTACTGAATTTCTGTTGCGTTACAAGTTTTAATTGGTTTCCAATCACTTATACAGGTTTCTCTGTAACGTCTGTCCCTATCCCTGATAACTGACTCAAAAGTCATACAGGGTGTCACTGACATGGGAGGAAACAGAACAGTTTTTAAACCTTTTTTAGACCTCAAAGAGGTCTAAAAGTAAGACAAAATACTGTTAGAACTCAAAGATGCATTAGGTTGTATAATGTTTGGGCATATTTTTGGTGTAAGTAACATCTACTTTCACTTTGTAAAGTCAGGGGAGAAGAGGACATAAGAAACCCTTTGCTCCTTTAACATATTTAGTGGGGGCCATAATATGGCCAAAGGGTTGGTGAACAGGAAAGGAGAGATGCAGTTAATGCTGCTATGAGAGCCAACCCCTTACCCACTACCAAAGGACTGGGGCCTGGGGCAACACAGACCCATCTCTGCACATCAGCAGGGCTGTTCTGGGAAGAGAACTGGTTTCTCCTGTTTGACAGGTAAAAAGTCTGAGCCCATCCCATTCTGTTTGCTCAAGACTTTCATGTGCTGTTTGAGCAGTGCATTGCTTACTCCTCCTTTCTTCCCTAGTTTCTAAAAGGCATAATCCAACGAGTGAATTAAGTGAAAAATTATTAGTGATTAAAATTATTAGTGATTTTTCCCTAAAGGGAGGGGTGTTTAAGCTGCTGGCACAGAATCTATTAAAAGTAAACTGTAATAGTGAGCATGCATCATTTAACAAACACAGAAAGTTCTGGTTTTTGGCTTAGAAACCAACAGCTGCCTCATCTTTCATTAAGATGGAAAAACGTCCTAACAACTGGTCCCTGCCAAATAAAGAAAATCCGCCTAACAGTACAAAGGCCACTTTACTAGTTTTTCACAGCGTAACTATTTGTAAAGTTTTGCTTCATATGGATTTTGTTGCTTATTTTTTTACCCAGAACAGTGCAATTGCCTTTATCTTTAAAAAGAATGAAAAGTTTAACGTTTCAGTAAGATTCTTAATAAAAATCTAGAACTAGACATCTCTCTTAACATCCTTTCATTCAGCTCCAGCTACTACCATTTGGCTTTGGTACTCAATGACTTTTGGTCCTGAACACCAATTCTCCAGTCATTACAAGCAAGGTTGAAAAAAAGACTTAAAAATACATTAGTCTCCTAACTCCAAAACTGCAGTTCTGAAGACATCCTTCCTCCCCCAGCTTTCTTCCTAAACACTCAGTGTTTGCCACTTCTGGCAATGAAAGCTTAGCTGGGGTGCGCTGGTATTCCTACTCTTCACAAATACCTCATTTTGGGGGTCAATCTAATCACCAGGTTCCAGGGCAAGAATGAGTTTTTCCATCAGGTCAGAAGTAAAAGGAGAATGGGGCAAGGGCCCCTAAAATCATCTCAGCATATGTTAACCTAACTGTGTGTGCATGCATGTGCATGTGTGTACGCACTTAATACAAATACAAAACCAAGCTTTTACTCAAGGGAACGCCCCACCAAAATCCGAAGGGCCGAACAGGAATTTCAGCTTTAGTTCATAGAGTTAGAATTTTATGAGATCCTGCCCTGAAGGTTTACCTAATTTTTGGCTTAAACATCCAATTTAGGATGTCAGCATAATAGTAAGAAGAAATCAAGCTTCAAGAAATCATAGGGAGCAACTGGGGCCTTCCCAATGAGAGGCAGATTTTTTTTTGGAGTTTACTTCCTTCATGAAAGTAAAGTAGTAAACTCCTCAGCTCAAAAGAAAGCTAAATACCAGGGTAATCATCCTATGTGCTCTATACAGGTTTCACACTATTCCTTCCATTACATAAAGCAATCAGTTAAAACATACTGGAAATAGAAAACAAAGAAATACTTGACAACAGGGGTGTCCAACAGGCAGTCCCCAAAGGATTGGCATGCAACCTGCAGGCTCCCAATCAGCTGCCATGTTCCCCCCACCCTCACAGTTGTTCCTGCTATGGCAGCCAGGTTCTTCAGGCTCCCCCACATTCCTCCAGCTTCTACTTCCTGCCCCACTTCCTGGGGGTGGGGGGGGACAGCACAGCAGAAGGGGGCAGGGGGCCTGTGCTGCAGACATAGCACTTGGGCTGGGATATCCATACTGTGCGCCTTGCATGCAACAAAGTTCGGAGCTGGGCTGCCTGTACTCGGGTGGACAGTATGCGTGGCCAGGAGGGAGCAGGGAGCCAGGCCACCTGCATGAAAGAGACCAGGA